TTTTGGTTTTGGTTTTTCTCCAGTACCAGGAACCGAACTCACGACCTTGCGCTTGCCAGGCAGGCGCTTTGCCGCTGAGCTAAATCCCCAGGCCCCCTATTATTATTATTGTTATTATTATTATTACTGGTACTGGACCTTGAACACAGTTGAACACAGGGCCTTCCCATTGAGCTGCTTCCCTAGTACTTTTTATTTTACTTATTTTTTTCCCCATGCTCTTTTTATTGTTTCAGGTTCTTGCTAAATGGCTAAATTGCCCAAGCTGGTTTCAAATTTGTGATCCTTATGCTTACGCCTCCCAGTGTGCTGGGTCTGTGCCACCACTCCCAGCTGCCTACACCTTTTAGAACACTTAGAAAAAAAAGAAACACTGAAAACAAATCCCATTAGGCAGGGATGGTGGCACACCCTTGTAGTCCTAGCACTCAGAAGGCAGAGGCAGGAGGGTTGCCTCGAGTTTGAGGCCAGTCTGGGCTACACAAGCGAGTTCAAGTCCAGTCTGAACTACACAGCAAGACCCTGTCTCAACCCTCACCTTCCCTCCAAAAATTGTCAGTTACTCCACAGAAGAGGAGTAGTCAAGCACCCTGTGTACCCATCACATCATATTTTTCCCACTGTGAGTTGTGGTAGAACATCCGGCTCCACTGGGGTAGGGTCCTTCAGGCAGCACTGGGATACAAGAGACCGGACGGCAGAGCACAGGTGTGATTGTGGGCAAAGAGTTAGTTTTGGAACCAGATCTCCTGAGCGCAAATGTATAGTTGCTAACCGATAACCATAGGGTCTTAAGGAAATTATTTAATGGCTCCAATTTTTTTCTTTTTTGAGATGGGGTCTCACTATGTAGTTCACCTGGCCTTGGACTCACTAGGGAGCTAGCTAGCCCAGGCTGGCCTCAAACTCACAGGGATCCTCCAGCCTCAGCCTCTCAAGGGCTGGGCTCACAGGCGTGAGCCACCACTCCTGGCTAATGCTTCAACTTGTTATCTGTAAAATGTGTGTAATAATCATCTACTTCATACATTTATCTTGCTTTGAGACAGGGTCTCGCCATGCAGTCCAGGCTGGCCTTGAACTCACTCACTGTACAGCCAAGGCTGGCTTTGAACTCGCTGGGGTCCTCCTGCAACAGCGACCTGTGTGCTGGGATTACAGGCCTGCGCCACCACCCTGGCTGTGCCCCCCCCCCCCCCCCCCCAGTTCTGTACAGTACTAGGGAACTCAAGTGTAGAGGAAAGCCAAACTTCATAAAAATCTCCTCCCTATTGTGAAATCCCAGCATTCAGTAAACTTCTCTTTTTTCAATGTTTTGTTTTTTCATTTTGCAACAGCTTGTCCTTGCTGGAAAACCACAGATCCTGCTGAGCACACCTACTCTCATCGCTTTAGCCCTTTCCCTTCCTACTCCCTCCTCTAGTCTCTAAAACTCTAACAGTCTATTTCACGAGCCTAAGAAAAAATGCCGTCAGAGACTCACTGGAGTAGAGCCTGGTGCTGCACACCTGTAATCCCAGCATCCAGGGGGCTGACACAGGAAGATTGCTGCAAGTTCGAGGCCATCCTGGACTACAAAATGAGACCCTGTTTCAAACAAACAAGCAAAGAAATCCACGGGTTTCCCGCCCATCCCTGGGCCCAGCAAAGCTTGGGACAACACAATAGGGAGTTGATCAGTGTGACAACCAACTGCTGGAGACCTTGGCTGATTGACTGATTAATTGATTGATTGATCTGAGACAGGGGCTCGCTTTTTAGTTCAGGCTGGCCTCGAACTCACTATGTAGCCCCGGCTGGTCTCAAACTTGTGGTGATTCTCCTGCCTCAGCCTACCGAGCGCTGGGATTACACACGTGCGTCCCCACCTTCCGCTAGGCCTTGGTTTATTTAACGTGCAGCGCGTCTCTTGGCTCTAACTCCACGGTCCTGCAAACTTTTGTGACCTGAGGTGAGCTTGACTGCAGGACTAGCTGTTCTCCACAGCAGCTGCGGGTATCGAGAGGCCCTAGCGGTGGCGCTGGGAATAGGGATTAGATAGGACTTGGTCCGGAAAAACCAGTTAAAGGCTAAGGAGACGTAGCGCCCCCTAAAGGGAGTGCGTATTAAAGCCACTAAACCAGTCCATCGATGTCACGTGCTTCCCGCCCTACCAATTGAAAATTAACAAGCGCTTCCTCTGTTCCCCATGGAAACAGCCCCGTCCCACTGACTCTCTCGCCCCATTCAGTTGTGAGGTTTTAGCGCTTTATTGAATGCTTCAGCTGACAATCAAATGCCCTTGCCATCTGAGTGGACACCGTGGTTCCGCTAAGCAAGACAGTACACTAATTGGTCAGTACAGCAATGGCTGACTGATCATTATCCAATGATCCTTAGGTTGGGCGGGGCCTAATGAGGATTTAGGACCAATCAGCGGAGGCGTCGCTTTTGCGGCTCCACGTCGGCACCAGCTGCGGCGCAAGATGGAGGCGGTGATTTTGGTAGGACCCGGAGGGGCAGCGGAGCCGCTGCGGTGCACAGAGGGGCTGGGAGGCAGAGTTCAAATGACTGGGAGGGGGAAAGGGGGCGTTTCGCGCAACCCTCGGGGACCGGAGGTTCTGCGGGCCAGTGGCGTCAGTGTGTGGCCTAGCGCGGGACGTAGGTGTAGGGTAGGAAGCGCTGCGGCCGGGGGCAGCGGCGGGAGTTGAGCGCAGCGCGCGCCGCCCTCAGGGTCTCCAGCGCCCTTGAGCGCGAGATCGGGTTCCTCCGGGTCCCCCGGCTCTCAGCGCTGGGGACGGGATCGTGATTTGGATTTCTGCAAACATCCACACTCGCCTCAAATTGTACAAAAAAAGCCAAAAAAAAAAAAAAAAAAAATCCCCCAACAGAATACAAGTGTTTGTCATCACAGACTTCTCCCTGTGGCTCTGGAATTTGGTTTTTCGTTGGTGATTCCCTGTCAGTCTCCTTCCAAAAGCTGCGCTCTCTTCGGGGTACTGGTCTGTCGTAGAGGATGAGCATTCCATCGCAGTCCTGGGATACTTGGTGGAAGTAGCGTGGGTTGTGGAGTGTTTCCCAAACTCCTTCTTTTCTCCTCTCAGTTAGACTTTAGGAATTTGACTGTAGGAGCTGTGGTGCTGATTTCTCCCCTCTCTAGTTAGATAAGAGTGCGGTGACCAATAGGATGTATTCGTCCTCTTAGCGTGTGGACCTTTTTTTTTTTTTTTTTTTTTTTTTTTTTTTCTTTTTTTTTTTTTTTTTTTTTTTTTTTAAAAGGAAAAACTCTGTAAGGTGTGTTTGCTTGTTTAGCCTTGAGCTCACTTTGTAGCCCAGGCTGACCTCGAATTCGTGATGATCCTCCTGCCTCAGCCTCCCGAGTGCTGGGATTACAGGCGTGCGCCACCATACCAGTGTGGTCCTTTTTCTGTTTTGTTTGTTTTTTTGTGAGGCTGGGGATCGAACCCAGGGTCTTGTGCATGCAAGGCAAGAACTCTACTACGGAGCCCCGTTTGGTCCTTTTTTGCTTGTTCATATAAAAATACCTCTTCTTAGAACTCGACCAGAGTATTTCTTTCAAAAGTGCCTTGTGTAGCAGTTTGGAGGGGCGTGTGTGTGTGTGTGTGTGTGTGTGTGTGTGTGTGTGTGCGCAGTCTCCTTTCTTAACTTGAACTGTAGGCCTCTCCCCCTTTTTTTGGTAGTGGTGGTATTACCTATTGAACCCAGGGCCTTTGCACTGAGCTACATCCCCAACCCTTTAAGACAAAGTCTTGCTAAACTGTCCAAGTTGGGCTGTAATTTGCTTTTTGGGGGGGCGGGGTTCTCCGGTACTGGGAACCGAACTCACGACCTTGCGCTTGCCAGGCAGGCGCTTTGCTGCTGAGCTAAAGCCCCAGGCCCTGTAATTTGCTTTTGTTAGTTTGTTTTTGTTTTTGTTTCTGTCCTTTTGAGACAGGGTCTGGCTGTGCAGTTCAGGCTGGCCTTGAGCTCACTTTGTAGCCCAGGCTGGTCTGGAACTCGCAACAATCCTCCTGCCTCAGCCTCCCAAGTGCTGGGATTACAGGCTTGCGCCACCACGCCCGGGTTGGGCTGTAATTTGCAATCCTCTTGACTCAGTTTTGCAGAGTGCTGGGATTATAGGCAGGAACCATCACTCCTTGTTCCTGGCCTCTTACCATAGAAACTTTCTTGTCTTTTATTTTCCTTCAGATTTCATGTATTCACATCCTCATCAATTTAAAAAAAAAAAAAAGGTTCTAATTTCCTTTTTTCAAAATGTCAGCTAGATGTGGTGGTGCACGCCTGTAATCCCAGCACTCAGGAGGCTGAGGCAGGAGGATCCCTTCGAGTTTGAGGCCAGCCTGGCCTATAAAGTAAGTTCAGTGTCAGCCTGAACTACAGAGCGAGACTCTGTCTCAAAAAACCCCCAAAAAACAAAATGTCAAAGCCTGAAGTGGTCATGTACACCTGTAATCGCAGCTCTGCAGGCTGAGGCAGGAGAACCACTGTGAGTTCAAGGCCAGCCTGGAGTACATCGTGAGCTCTGCCACAAAGAAACAAAAGTAGTCAGAGAATTCCTTCTCATATGGGTTGATCAATTGTAAGTAAAAAGTTTAAAATCTGAGTAGTTTTAAATGTTTTTTCTACCAGCAGTTTATATGTTTTATTTTGCTTTTCTTTTTCTATCTTTTTGAGACAGGGTCTCACTATTCAGTTAAGGGTAGCCCTGAGCTAACTTTGTAGCCCAGGCTGATCTTGAACTAGCAACAGTCCTCCTGCCTCAGCCTCCCGAGTGCTGGGATTATGGCATACACCACCATGCCCAGTTTATTTTGCTTTTTTTCCCCTAGTGCTGGAGATTGAACCCAGGGATATTCCACTACTGAACTGCATTCGCAAACCTTTTTTTTTTTTTGTACCGGGAATTGAACTCAGGTCCTTGTGCTTACCAGGCAGGTGCTGTACTACTGAGCGATAGCCCCAGCCTCGCAAACCTTTTTTTATTTTGAGATAGGATCTAAGTTGCCCAGGCTGGCCTTGAACCTGGAATCTCCCTAACATAGCCTTCCAAGTAGCTGGGATTACAGGTGGTTTTTTTTTTTTTTTTTTTTTTTTTGGTTTTTCTCCGGTACCGGGAACCGAACTCATGACCTTGCGCTTGCCAGGCAGGCACTTTGCCAGTGAGCTAAATCCCCAGCCCCTACAGGTGGTTATATTATGCTCTACTGTGAGCATTCTTTCTGGGCTTTATTTTTGTTTCTGTTTTTGAGACAAGGTTTCCCGATGCAGTTCAGCTGGTCTCAAACTCATGACAACCCACCTGCCTCATCCTTCTGAATGCTGGGACACACCCAGCTCTACTATGAATATTCTTTAACAGTTGATAGAGTAGGATAGATTCTAGAAAGTTGGTTTCCTTGGAAACTTTTAGATATCTTGTTACATTTTATTAAAAGGAACCCTGCTTTAGGAGTAAGGAAAGATGCCTGTACTTGGAGAGCCTGATTACTGAAGGGTCTGTGTGTAGTGGGCGTGGGGGGAATGAGATGCGACAGTTGCATTTTTCTCTTCCTGTAGTTCTCTGCCTCTGCTGCTGCGGTGTAGTCTGTTTCAGTCTGCTCCTCCTTTATTCCTCCATTTTAATCCTAAATTACTGCATACTTGGATTCTTGCTGATTTGGTCAGGTGGTCCTGAATTTTGCTTAAAAACCTATACTGAAAAAAAAAAAAAAATTAAAAACCTATACTGAGGCTGGGCATGGTAGCGCATGCCTGTAATCCCAGCCCTGGGAGGCTGAGGCAGGAGAATCACTGTGAGTTCAAGACCAGGCTAGGCTACAAAGTGAGTTCAGGGCTAGCCTGAACTGCATAATGAAACCCTATCTCTAAATAAATAAATAAATAAATACAACCTATACTGAAGCTGCCTGTAATCCCAGCACTCTGGGAGGCAGAATCTCAAATTCAAACTCAGCCTGGGCAGTTAAACAATTTTTCGAGACCTTATCCTAAAATAAACAGTGAAAAAGGCTGGTGATGTAGCTCTGTGCAAAGGCCTTGGGTTCAGTCCCCAGTACCAAAGAAACCAAATCAAACCAAGCCATACTGACCTGGGTGTGGGGGCAAATGCGTGTATTCCCGTAATTGAGGAGCTAATATAGAAGGATTGCAGGTTCAGGGCTAGCTGTGCAATTTAATGAGATCCTGCCTGCCTTTTTTTTTTTCCAAGACAGTCTGTCGATGGAGCCCAGGCTGGTCACTAACTCATGGCGATCCTCCTGCCTCAGCCTCCTGAGTGCTGGGATTACAGGCATGCAACACCACGCCTGGCCCTGGCTGTTTCTTTGAGACAAGGTCTTGCTGTATAGTCTAGATTGACCTCAAAGTTGAGGTGATCTTCCTGCCTCGGCCTCCTGACGTTGGGATTACACGTGTGTGCCACCATGCCTGGTTTTTTTTTTTCATTTTTTATTTTGAGACAGGGTCTTGCTAAGTCACTCAGCTTCTCTTCTGCTCTTTCTCCCTTTTAAAATGAGTGGATATTTGCAGGTCACCATTCTCTATGAATAACCTATGAGCTCTTACAGATGATTCCTTACCCTTCCTCTCTCCTCTACTGTTTTCTCCCTCAAAGCAGAATTCCTCTAGCAGTTAGATCCTTAGATTATTGTACATAAGTTTCATTTGTCCTAATCCTCTCTGGACTCATTGTCTCTTTTTTTTTTTTTTCTGGATTCACTTTCTGTGCATTTTTCCAGTGCTTTGCAGACTGGACTTCTAATTCTCCTCTTTCTCTCTCTTTAATAATATTTTATCCTAAAACAGTGACAGAATCCCAAGTTGCTTTCAAAAATCATGCTATCCAAAGTGCAGGAGGCCGTGGTGACAGAATCCCAAGTTGCTTTCAAAAATCATGCCATCCAAAGTGGAGGAGGGGCCCGCGCGGAATGGTGCAGCGACTCTTAGATTCTTAAAGGCTGATAGTGCTTCTGGGCCTTGCTTCCTGAATCATCTTAATGGGGCTTTTGTTAAATTCCTGTGGCACTAACAGTCGAGGTGCTTGGCCCGAATGCCCCCTTCGCCTGCTTTGGGCAAAGGTATCAATTACATTAAGCCCCCGAAGCACTCCCATCTCGTCCCGGCAGTGCCCTGCGCCCCTCTCCCAGCTGCGTCCTTGCCGGTGCCTGGCCCCGGCCTTTCAGTAGGAGAAGCAATCTCCTTTGCTGTGCCGTGGAGATATATTTCTCAGCCAGGGCTTGAGCAGTGCCAGCACTGCCCCCGGTGAGGTCCCTGGCAGCCATAAAAATTTTTATTGTGATTATGTTGGTGTCGGGGTGTCCATCTGGGTTATTGCACACCTAGTTTAATTGATTGAAGTTTAATTTATTGACACTTCAAATTAAATGATCAGAATAAACTGTGCTGTTACTCTGGCCGGCTTGTTTTAATGGTTGATTGCTGGAAGCAGACCTTGGCTTGAACTAAAACCCCCAAAGAGCAATTG